CAGGTCTGCAGCTGCAGGGCTTGATGGCTTGAAGGGCAGAAAGGAAAGTGCAGAAAAGCCTGGCAGCAGCTGCAGCCACCACAAATGATAGAATTATTTTATCAGGGCCGGGCGCGGTGGCTCACGCCTGTAATCCCAGCACTTTGGGAGGCCGAGACGGGTGGATCACAAGGTCAAGAGATTGAGACCATCCAGGTCAACATGGTGAAACCCCGTCTCTACTAAAAATACAAAAAATTAGCTGGGCATGGTGGCGCGTGCCTGTAATCCCAGCTACTCAGGAGGCTGAGGCAGGAGAATTGCCTGAGCCCAGGAGGCGGAGGTTGCGGTGAGCCGAGATTGCGCCATTGCACTCCAGCCTGGGTAACAAGAGCGAAACTCCGTCTCAAAAAAAAAAAAAAAGAATTATTTTATCAAAGGTCAGGGAGCACAAAAAATCTTAAAAGTAGCCAGAGACAACAGTGCACAAAATTCAGGTTTTGGACTCTCACTGCCCCAAAGCGGTCATGGCTAGGTGAGACAATCTGGTCAAGAGTGATCATGAAACAGAGACAGGTGGCTATTGGGTAGCAATCTCTTACTTCAATCTGAGTCTCTGAGTGACACATATCTTCAAGTGCAGACTGCCAACACCAAGCTGGACAATGATCTTTCAAATCTGATTCAATGCATTTAGATGCTGCAGGCCTTGTCTCCTCCTTTGCTGTCTTAGCAAGTCATTCCTATGTAATCTTCTCCCTGCTGCTCTCTCTAGACTCCCCCTGTGCATTCCAGTTGCCAGTTATAAAGATCCCTTTCTAATCCCTTTCTGTTCCCAAACATCCCATGCCCCAATCCAAAGTCTGAACTCAGTGCCACTCCACCATGTCCCCAGAGGACCTGCATTATAGCACTTACAAAACTGAAACATGTCAACATGTTGTCCCAGTATTGCCTTAGGAGTGTCACTGTCAGCCCCACACCCTCTTCTGTACAGAAGCTGGCTCAAAAAGCACAGGCTATGGGGAGTCAGGAGCTGGAGGGTAATATTATTATCTGGGCAGGCAAAAGCTTGGCTGAGTAGGGAGCCCACCCTCTCCAACCTCCCAGTTGGTCTGTTATAACCTGAGGAGAATACCTCCTCCCAGTGTTGGTGCTTTATAAGAGCCTACAGGTGAACCCCGGAGCTGCAGGAACCATTTGGGGGAGTGGCAGCAAAGCAAAAGGACCAGAGTAGTTTGGGGATGCCTGATACTCACCTCCTTTTTTTTTTAAAATTGCCTCAGAGGAACAGGACCTGTGGCCTGGGCTTTAGCCCAAATTCCCAGGCAGAGAAGTTGGCATCCCTGGTAAAAGGAGTTCTCAAACCAAACTAACTAGGTAAGTTCCACTCCTATAAGAGAAGGGCAATGCCCTGAATTATATGACACAAAGCAGAATTATTGGGACAGACCATAAAATTTAAGTAACATAATAAATATCCTCCAATGGATAAATGAAGAAATTACTAATACAAACTAAAAGAAAACATTAAGAAGAAAAATACAATCGTTGAAATAAAGAACACAATAGATGGGGTAAATAGCATCATGGATACAAAAACAAAAAAACAAGAAACACACACAGAGCAATGCAAGGGAAGCTTAGAGAGGCCTGCTTCCAAAAAGCAGCAGAAAAGAATTCAAGTAGAGAGTAGAGAGATACAGTAAATAGAAGCAGAGGTTCCAAAATCCAGATACTAGGGAACAGGGAAGAAGAGGGGGAAGACAAATGTAAAAGAAAAGGAAATATTTTAAGAAAATTGATAATTAATTTTCCAGAATTCAAAAGAGATGAAAGACCTCAGATAACAAGAGTTTATAAAGGACCAAACAGGATATAAAAAGACCCACACCAACGCATGTGTTATTGAAACTTGAGAATATTAAAATTAAATAAATGTGAATTCTAAGAGAATTTAGAGAGAAAGAAAAAGAAGAATGAGATTAACATTTTTTTTTTTTTTTTTGAGATGGAGTCTCACTCTGTCGCCCAGGCTGGAGTGCAGTGGTGCCATCTCGACTCACTGCAACCTCTGCCTCCCAGGTTCAAGAGATTCTTCTGCCTCAGGCTCCTGAGTAGCTGGGACTACAGGCACCTGCCACCACACCTGGCTAATTTTTATATTTTCAGTAGAGATGGTGTTTTACCATATTGGCTAGGCTGTTCTCAAACTCCTGACCTCGTGATTTGCTTGCCTTCACCTCCCAAAGTGCTGGGATTACAGGTATGAGCCACTGCGCTGGGCCAACATCAAATTTTTCAATAGCAACATCTAAAAGAGACAGTGATTTTTTTTTTAAGCTGGGATTACAGGCACATGTCACTACCACCCAGCTAATTTTTGTATTTTTTAAAGAGATAGGATTCCACCATGTTGGCCAGGCTGGTCTCAAACTCCTGACCTCAATGATCCACCGGCCTCAGCCTCCCAAAGTGCTGGGATTATAGCCATGAGCCACTGTGACTGGCCTAATATTTTTAAAGCATAGAAGGAGAAGAACTTTGAACGTAAACTCCTCAAGTGTGAGAGTATAATAACAATATTCTTAGGCATGCAAAGCCACTGAAGGTTTGCCAGGTAAAAGCTCACTCTAAAAATATTCATCAGGAAAGTTCTCAGATAAAAAGATGAATAAATCTTGTGACATGGGAAACAAGGCCAGTTGAATAACGTAGTAAAGGTTGTTGTCTAAAAAGGATGAAAAACAAAGGAAAATAACTTCTAAAATTCCTTTTTCTTTTTTTAATGGAGTCTGGCTCTGTCACCCAGGCTGGAATGCAATGTCGCAATCTTGATTCGCTGCAACCTCTGCCTCCAGGTGCAAACAATTCTGCTTCAGCATCCCAAGTAGCTGGGATTACAGGTACACACTACCACGCCCAGCTAACTTTTGTATTTTTAGTAAAGATGGGGTTTTGCCATGTGGGCCAAGCTGGTCTCGAACTCCTGACCTCAAGCTATCCACCTGCCTCAGCCTCCCAAATTGTTGAGATTACAGGTGTGAGCCACCATGTTCAGCCGAAAAATTCCAGAATTAAAATCTTAGACAACAGCAATACAATTGGGATGAGGGCTGGGAAGAAAGTGAGAGACCCAAGGTACACGTAAACTGCTAATGTGTTTGTATTATAACACAATAAATACAGACTTTAATACATTCAACAAAGTAATAATCATAAACACAAATTTGGGTCTTAAGAGTAAATACAATAACAACAAAAATATAATTTGTTCTAAATAATGAAAAAACATCTATTAGAAAGCAGAAAATGAGAAAAAAATTAAAATGAAGTATAGTAAGGGGAAAAATATTAAATATTAGAAATAAGCTCTAATAAAACAATTATTCCAGTAAGTGTAAATGGATTAAAGTCACCAATTAAAAGACTCTACAATTAGATATGTGAGAAACAAATACAAAAAAAGAGGGAGAGAGAGAATGAAGCAAATATCCTAAGCAAATAAGAGCCAAAAGAAGGCTGGGGAATCTATCTCAATAACTGGTAACACAGAATTCAAGTTTTTTTTTTTTAATCAAAAGAGCCATCAATGCATGATACATACTAGAAAAATAAACAAGAGTAAAAGATGTGATCTTTTATATGTACCTAACAATGTTACAATATGTACCTAACATTGTGACAATATAAACAATGTATTTATATGTAAAACATATAAATACTCCTGAATCAACAAATACACTTGACTATTTTGACATATGCCTTTCAGAAGCTGCTAGAACTGGCAGACAAAAAATAAGCAGAACTATAGAAGGTCTAAATAATACACTAACTATGTCTAAGCAAGTAGATATATAGAGAGCTCTATACCCAAACAGAGAATATGTAATTATTTTCAACATTTTTTAAAAGTAACTATAAACCAGGCTAAGGCTTCAGTAAATTCCAAGGAATCAATATCACAGAGACTATCTTCTCTGACCATAAAATTAAAAATGATAACAAAAATGAAAGCTTAAAATAATTCCATATGGCTAGAACTTGGTTAAAAATAAAAACATAAGTGAACTTAAAAAAAAAAATACATAGAATTGGATGACCGTGAAAACACAGCGTGTCAACTTTGTGAAACATAGCTCAAGCATTACTCAGAGAGAAATATATACCTTTAAGTACATTCCTCTTCCTTATTTACTGCTAAAACGAACAAGTGTTTCCCTGAAAGTCACACAAACAGAACATGGAGTGCTGTGGGAAAGCTCTCACTATATATACAAATATCTACCTCATGGCCTACTGGGCCTTCTGCCCCCAAGATTCATTAGGGACAAAATAAGATGCTGTTGATAAATTAAAACCTAAAAGAAAACAACACATCAGGTAGTGGCACATCCATCTTTATCAAGGCCCCGTAGGCCTTGACAAACTATTAGCCAAAGCATACTTTTTTTTTTGTTTTTGTTTTTTGAGATGGAGTCTTGCTCTGTCACCCAGACTGGAGGGCAGTGGCATAATCTCAGTTCACTGTAACCTCTGCTTCCCAGGTTCAAGTGATTCTCCTGCCTCAGCCTCCCAAGTAGCTGGGATTACAGACATGCGCCACTCCACCCAGCTAATTTTTGTATTTTTAGTAGAGACGGGTTTTTACCATGTTGGGCAGGCTGGTCTCAAACTCCTGACCTCAGGTGATCCTACCACCTCGGCCTCCCAAAGTGCTGGCATTACAGACATGAGCCACCATGCCTGGCCCAAAAAATACTCTGTTAAAGAAAAATATCAAGGCGCTGAATCTCGTAATAGCTTATAACTTTTTGATCCATCATTAAATTGGGTATAAAAACCAACAGACTCTGAAATCAAGTATTTTATTTCCCTCTTACTAAGGACTAGGCACTGCTAGTTTCAGCTCCCATTCCCTCTGGCATCCACTGCGTGAGATGAAATACTCCCCCCTTTAATTAAACATTCATCCCCTGATACTGATGTCATAAGAAGAAAACATATTTGCAAACAAGTACCTGATACGGTAAGTCAGCCATCCTTAAATAAGTTTCCATTTTTAAACAGAAAGGAGATAAACTGGGAACACCATTGTTAGGTCTTGCAAACTGATGCAAAATAATAGCATCTTTAGAGTCAATCTCTTGCTGTTTCCTGTCAAAACCAAAACAGAAATAAAGAACAATCCACATGTTATCCACATTCAGTTCCCTTACTTCTTGAGAGGACCCTGAGGGGCTGTAGCTCCTCAATGAACAAGGAGATCTGTCTGGCACAGCGGCTTACCTTACCCAGCACCCAGTTTGTCGCAGGGGCTTGCCTCACCCAGCACTCATGGAAGCTTAGTCAAAACACAAGAGAACCTTACAAACTCCAACATTACCATGACCTCAGTGGCTCAGCAAAGTAACTACATAACAACCTCCTTCTGTTACCGGCGGCCTCTGGGTGACAAGAACATTTTCTGGTATTGGTCCACCTCTTCTCCAGCTGGCTGTGTTTACTGCCAGGGACAGGCTGGATGCATAAAACTGATATTCTGTGCTTACTGTGTGTCACACATTGTTCTGAGGGTCTCACGGGTCTTATCGTCTTTAATCTTCATAATAACCTTATGAAGTAGGTACTACTGTTATCCACGTTTTATAGATGAGGAAATTAAGGCACAGAGGATTCACTTGCCCAAAGTCACATTGCTAGTAAATGGGAGAATGGGTACTGAACCAAGAAGTCAGAGCCAATGTTTTTGGCCATTAGACTATACCATGAAACAGTCTATTCATCCATAAGACCCAAGAATAACAGTGCAGATTTGCTCTGCTATGACCCAAGTCTGCAGGGAATCTGAGACTGAATATTCTGGTCCCTCTTCCCAGCTGTCCATGCCCTCACCTACCCCTTCCTTCACCTGTAATGCTGTGAAACCTGACTTCTGGATGCTTTCTCTCTAGCTCTGTCTCCCTTATTTTCTGCCTTCCCAGCATCCCCACTTTTACTACACAGCATGTATTTTAGTACCCCTGCTTTTCCCCTTTCTTCTGTCTCAGCCACACATCCATCTTTTCCTTTGGCTACTCTTTTGAGTGAGGAGGACTTCCCTGTATACAGTTTTTCAATAACCACTGCATAGTGGAATGAATGCTGGATTCCAAGTCTGGACACCTGGGGTCAAATCCAAGCCCTGCTTCCTATTGGCCACATTAGCCTAGATCTCTCCACCATCTTCACCTGGAAAGTGAGGATAATGCCAATTCTGTAAGGATGATCATGAGGATTTCATAAGGTAATACTGTAAATATTTAGTGAACTATCAAGTATTAAGTAATAGTGGAATTTATGCTCATCCAAAGAGATATAGTCTTATCCCTGCAAACTACAAAATCTCCCCATTCCTCACAACCCCACTCATACTCCACTCCTCAGGACCCTTTTGCAATTTCCATGTTCATTCAACCCAGCTAATTGCCAGTCAGATAAACTCCACTCTTCCTTCCCCTTGGCCCCACCTCTGGTTCCCTCGCATTGTTCCCAGTACAACACCACACACCCTTCTTTCTACCCAAGCAAGAACAAGCTCTTTATATCTTCATCACATGGATGCCCACTTCCTGCAAATCCCCATTCAGTAAAACAAACTCTCTTGAAAAGTTTACTACCCAAGGGCCCAATCAACTTCATGGTTCGGAATAACTCATTTTGAAAATATCTGTCAAGTCAAAAAAATAAAAATATTTGCTGCTTTCTCACAATATTCATTGTAAAAGAAAAGTTTTCATTTAGATGGAATGTTTGCGAAGTAAGATATTAATATCAAGAACTCATTTAGACAATATTCCAAGACAGCACAAACTATAGATGTGACAATTTACTGAATTATTTTGTTCAAATAATTCCCATCACAAAGTGGTATTTTCATGTAAATTAAATTACCAGGCAAAAATTTCAGAACTGACAGGAGAGGAGACAAACATAAAGTCCTGCTCCATCGGGCAAAACGATCTAATTCTAATTGTAATTTGGTTCATGTTACAGTAAGAAGGGATGCTCATTTTCTACCAAGCATATGCCAACGACTTTATATATTATATATGTTAACTTATTTAATTCTGACAAGACACTTTAGAATGGGTATTGTTATACTTTAAATTTGGGATATCATATTACAGTAGATAAGAAAACTGAAGCTCAAAGACATTAAATAGCCGGATGCGGTGGTTCACGCCTATAATCCCAGAACTTTGGGAGGCCGAGGCGGGTGGATCATGAGGTCAAGAGATCGAGACCATCCTGGTCAACAAGGTGAAACCCTGTCTCTACTAAAAATACAAAAATTAGCTGGGCATGGTGGTGTGCGCCTGTAGTCCCAGCTACTCGGGAGGCTGAGGCAGGAGAATTGCTTGAACCCAGAAGGTGGAGGTTGCGGTAAGCCGAGATCGTGCCACTGCACTCCAGTCTGGGTAGCAACAGCACAGCAAACCTCCATCTCAAAAAAACAAAAAAAAACAACGAAAGACATTAAATAACTTGCCTAAGGAACATCAATTTAAGATTGACTCTGAAGTAACTCCATGCTCCTAAGCACTTCAAGGCCACCAAAATGGGCAATTCCTTGGTTAATTGTATTCAAACTGCCAGTTTGACTCAGGCCACTGAAGCCTGGAACTTTCTGATAAAAGTCACAGCTAACGATGTCCAACTTTTATTGACTTTTCACCTTGACAAACTCTGTTCTAAGAATTTCACATGTGTAACTCATTTAATCAATTGTATGAGAAAAGCTACCATTATGATTACCATTTTACAGATGAGAAAACTGAGTCATCAAGAGCTTACTGTCATATCCAAGGTTTCGTGGCTGGTTAGAGTCTAAATTTGAACTCAGACAGTCTGGCTCCAGAGCCTTCCCTCCAACATGTGAGAAACCCCTCTCTAATTTAGGATCAGAGGATTGGGTGGTTTGTTTCCTACACAGCTATATTTTATAAAGTGACATCACCAGAGGTTTGTATAAGAGAACACCCATAGAGCATTAACTAGCTAGTTTACTACTGTTCCCAGGGCTAACGATATCACAGATGAATATGCCTCTGTAAACAGCTGATGATTTGTTAGTTTGCAGAGATCAGATGTTGATTCACCAACTAAATCTTCTAGAAGAGGCTGAGCCCATGTGCCAAAAGTGCAAATAAGCACTGGTAATGAAGTTATTACTTAGTCACTCAAACAAAAATTTCCAAATGCCTGATTGAATTTAAGATAGCTACCAAGCTATCTCCACTCAGGGAAAACAAAGCAGTGGGTTGGGACCATATTTATTTTAAAATACGGTGCTTAAAAAAACATGGATAAAACCCCAAAAACCTACCTTGGTTATATTCATTCCCATATTTCTCTCCCTTCAGTTCCCATATTTCTCTCCCTCTTCCCCCAACAAAAGATATTTCAAAGTAGGAACTGTCTAAGAGGCAGTGGTTAAAAGAATGCAGGCTCTGACGTGAATCTGGACCCTGCTACTCTTACTGTGTGATCTTGGGCAAGTTGCTTAACCTCCCTGAGCTGTAATTTCCTTATCTATGAAATAGATGTCAAGCTTCAAACAACAGTTGTGAGGAATAAATGCAGTCATACATGCAAAGCCCATGTATGCAGAGTCCCTAATAAGTGTTCAGAAATGGTCAGCCCTTTTTTATTGTTTGCATTACTTCAGAGTTTTCTAATTCTGGACTCAAACATTTGTCCAGAAACATAAGTGACCAAGCATGGTGGCTCACACCTGTAAACCCAACACTTTGGGAGGCCAGAGAGGGAGGATCACTTGAGGCCAGGAGTTTGGAACCAGCCTGGGCAACATATTAAGACCCTATCTCCACAAAAAAAGTTAAAATTAGCCAGGTGCAATGGTTCATGCCTGTAATCCCAGCAATTTAGGAGACTGAGGCCAGAGGATTGCTTGAGCCCAGGAGTTCGAGGCTGCAGTGCCACTATAGGGCCATTGCTCTGCAGCTTGAGTGATAGAGTGAGACTCTACTAAAAAAAAAAAAAAAAGCAAACACGAATCAACCTAGGATTTAACTCTTTAATCCAAATAAGCATCCAATGCTGAGGTTTATAGTCCCCTAAATGAGTTAGGAGCTATCTGTGGGCAGAGAGCTTTCCAGTCTCCAGTAACCACACCTGCCAGGGCATGGCTTACTCCCAAGCTGAGCTCCATACTGTTTCTGCAAGGTCATTTAAACTTGGACCTGTGAAGCCTTCACTCCCTCCACTGCTGAGAAGCCTCATGGTTCCGGATCTCCTCAAAGGCTTTAGACTAGAATACAACTGAGAAACAACTGGGTTACCATTAAAATCACTGCCCAAATGTTTTAGTTCTTCAGATAGCTTGAAATCTAACTTGAAATACAGTTCTAAAACTAGCAGAATTGTCAAATAATCTAGAGTGATAATTCTCTTTAAGTTATTTTATTTGGTTCAGCTAGATTCAAGGCACTGTATTAAGTGAGAGAACTAAATGTGCAACAAGCTTAAAATAAACTTCCTCAAATATGGCTAAATAATATGAAAACCGATACATTTCCCCAAACCTAAAGATTTCCCACCCTCTCAGAGATGGGAACTATTCAGAACACGTTAGGCAAAAGACCTACATTAGGCTATCACAATAATGTCCTGGGATCCCTGCAGGCTAATGAAGGTCACCTATTGCTGTCTTTGTTTATAACCTATTGTGTAGGATTCCTCCACTGGAAAAAGGCAGTGTGGACACATTTCTCTCACTTTAGAAAATACTGGCAAAGGGACATTCTGAGCTATTGAAAACTGGGCTTCTGATAATCTTCCAGAGACTAAGGGTACAAATGCATGGAAATTTTAACTATTAATTGATGTATCAATTAGCCAAACGACAGTCTCAGTGCCCTGTGGTATTACTCTACCCAAACAGAAATCTCGTGCCGGATGGATGTACCAACAGCAGGGGCCTCCATTTTCTGGTATTCCCAACTCAATCTTGTAAACATTCTGCGGCAGTGGATGCAACTGTTTACGGCACTGGGCGACTCTGTGTTATGCCCAACACGCCCATGTGCTAGCCTGTCCTACTGCTCACACAACAATGACATCTAAACCTGAAGATGGTGCTTGGCGTTCAATACCAGATAAGCAGAGAACCAGGTTAAGGCTGCATCAAAACTGCACACCACTACACTTGGTCATGCATCTTTAATAGGGACCCGCAGGTTCCTGGAGCTTTTGCAATTTTTCTCCCTTTTGATGTTGACATTTAGAGAAGGATGGTGAAGAACTAATCTTTTAGATAAAAGATGAGGTTAGCAGTTAATATTCCAGCATTATCACCTATCAACAAATAAGGCATTTCATAAGAGTGTAACCTATTTCTGCAGGGCCCAATTTCTATTGTTGCAAACATACTGCACTAAAATCCTCCTAAGGACATTTCTTAATAGATAACGACAAGTGACCCAGAGCATTTTGGGAGACAGATGTTTTTCCCTCCCAGCACCGGTTTAATTCTCCTTTCGACTGCAAACTGCCCCTCACGGCCAGGTGACCACCGAATGTCTTTAGGGAAAGGTAACTGCAGGACGCTTGAGCATCTGGGCAGCGTGACCGAGGGGCTGGCAAGGGCCCCCCTCGCGCCAGCCCTGCCCTAGCCAGGTGCCCCTCTCGGCGCCCCTGTGCGGGGCCCTCTCTCCGGCTCACCTAATGACCAGGAGTTCGTGGAGCAGATACGCAGCTGCGGCCAGCAAAGCTCCCCCAGTCAAGTAAAGGGTTTTCTTCCACCAGGGATCGGAGCCCAGCCCTGCCATGATCCCACCGTAATCCTGCAAAGGGAAAGCGATGATGTCCCCATAAAAGGAGAAGGGCTCCTCGGACCCGGCCCACCAGCCGAAGAAGGAGACGCTCTGGTTCCAGCTCAGATCCACCACGCACGGCCTGGACGAGGCAAAGCCAACCCCCCAGTGCATGCTGCGCGGCTGGCTCCGGGCGCCCCTCCCAGGGCCCGCGCCGCCCGCATGGGAAGGGGCCGGCGCGGCCCGGCGCGGGCTCAGAGGCGCGCGGAGGGCGCCGGCGGCAGCGACTGAGGAGGGGGCCGCAGAGGCGGAGGAGGAAAGACGCCGGCCGCGGACGGCGGGCCTGGCCGGCGGGGCCCCAGGGCCCTGGGCGGCAGCGGCGGCCGCCGGCTCCCCCTGCAGCGGCCTCTCCGCCCTGCTCTTTGTGTCGGTGCCTGGAGAAGGCCGCGTGATGTCATTGCTCCCCCGGGCAGGGAAACAGAGGCGGGATAAAGTCACCTACCCCGCGCCCTGCCCCCGCCCCGCATCTCCGCGGTCCGGCAGCCTCCGCCCGGGCCGGAGCTGCAGGACTGGGGCGCGCCGGGCGGGCTCCGCGCCTCTAGGCGGCACGCCCAAAAACCGCCGGCCGTGCGCGGGCAAGGGCGGCGGAGGTGCCTGGAAACGTAGCTAGAAAGCTGCAGTCGGGGCCCGGATCCCGGTCCTCCCCCACCCCGGCCCGCCCTCCGCTGGCTCTCCAGCCCCTCCCGTGGGCCCCGGAGCGGGGAGCGCGCAGGACTCACCTGGGGCGCGGAGCTGCGGGCCGGAGACGCCACCCGGTGGGGGTTGGGAGCGTGGGCCGGGATTAAAGTCGGGAATCAGATTGTTCCGGCCATCAGAAAAGCGCTGTGTATTTGCATAATTTATAAAAACACGCTTATTACATTACACAGTTACCTCGGGCTTGGCCAGGTGTTCGCAGAGACGAGATGTCTGGTTTTACAAACAACAACAAAATACTCTACCTAGAGAGATTTCTTTGACAAACCCAGTTCAAGCCTTTTCTCTTTGAAGTCACTATCTGGGAACTCGCTGATAGAGAGTTTTGGTTGGGGGGTAAGGATGCCTCTTTTGGTTAAGAAAATCCAACGACTGTGTGTGTGTTCAGTGTATTTTTTTCCTTTAACTTCATTTATTAAAGTTCGTAAGTGCAAAGAATAGAAGCTTATAATATATGCACAGATTTTAGCAAGAGCGTGGATAGTTTTAAATTGTTTGGAAGAATTGAAAAAGGAATCCGGCCATGGAGGTGCATCACTCTTAAGGTGGAAGGATGGATAAAGGAAACCTCCAGGCTTTTGCCTGAAGAGCAGAGATTGAGGCGAAAGAGGACTTTCTTTTTTTTTTTCTTCTCCTACCACACCAGCTTCTTAGAACAGGCCATGAGTGTGGTCGTATTGTTAATAAATAATAAATATGGACATGTTGCCTCAAAGAGATGGGGTGGGGGAGGGGCTAGTGAGCTGATGCCTAGGCATCAGCATGAGAGATGCCCCAAATGCTCCCAGGAACATGTGACCTCCCAGGAAGAAGAAATGTGTGTGGTTGGAAGTGAAGCTCCCATGAGTAGGTTGCAAGGAGTGAAACCCAACAGCCTCCTGGGGTGACTGAGGTGGTCACCAGACGGTCTTCCAAGGACAGAGCCCAGAAGGCTGCCTGGCCTTGTCCGTAAGAAGCAAAGTAGTAAAGTTTGGGACCAGAGCTGCAGTACTCTGGAAGAGAGAACAAGGAGAGCTGGCACCAGGGATTCTCCATGCTCCGTCTGTGCCCTTCCCACAGAGCACTCAGCCTTTGCTCTCAGTAAACACTGAGCCAATATTTGAAGAATATAAGTTTGATATTTGGAATCACATTATTTGCGTATCTAAGTCTAGGCATGGGCATAAATTACCTTGAGTGGAAGAATATGGAAGGCAAAAAGGAGAGTCAATCCTGACATATCTTATGTCCCAAAACACGTTAGAAACCAGAGGAAATGTAATATTTTTATCCCAGAAAGCCACTGACTACAATTCCCTCTCACTCATGGTGACTTGTCCTGCCCACTCCCACTGCTGCTTCCTGGTCGTATCAGACAACTGTTGAGCTTCATCCTGTCTCTAGTTCAAACATGGTTTAAGTGTTTAGAGGCACCCTGCAGTAAACGTGTTTAAGAAGCAGATGTGGGCCGGGCGCGGTGGCTTACGCCTGTAATCCCAGCACTTTGGGAAGCAGAGGCGGACGGATCACGAGGTCAAGAGATCGTGACCATCCTGGCCAACATGGCGAAACCCCGTCTACTAAAAAATACAAAAATTAGCTGGGCGTGGTGGCACGCGCCTGTAGTCCCAGCTACTTGGGATGCTGAGGCAGGAGCATTGCTTGAACCTGGGAGGCGGAGGTTGCAGTGAGCCAAGCTGGCGCCACTGCACTCCAGCCTGGTGACAGAGCGAGACTCTGTCTCAAAAAAAAAAGAAAAAAAAAAAAGAAGCAGATGTGGGCTGAGCGCAGTGGCTATAATCTCAGCACTTTGGGAGGCTGTAGCGGGTAGATTACTGAGGTCAGGACTTCGAGACCAGCTTAGCCAACAGCTCTACTACACCCCGTCTCTACTAAAAATACAAAAAAAAAAAAAAAATAGCTGGGCATGGTGGCAGGCGCCTGTAATTCCAGCTACTCGGAAGGCTAAGGCAGGAGAATCATTTGAACCCAGAGGCAGAGGTTGCAGTGAGCAGAGAGTGTGCCATTGTACTCCAGCCTGGGCAACACGAGCAGGACACCGTCTTAAAAAAAAAAAAAAAAAGGAAGAAGAAGAAGAAGATGATGATGATGATGATATAGGTAAAATAAAATCCCACAAGAGAAACTAAAATGTCTTCTTAATCTGATGCAGATTAACTTTAACTTTTAGATCCATGGCATAGAAGAGAAGAAAATGATTATTGCTAGGGCTGTATATGATGAAAGGAGGAAGAGTGGACTAAGGAGACAACAAATACAGGAGTTGGACAAATGTTTGGTATCAGAAAGTCAGAACAGGATGAGCATGGTGTGGTGGCTCACGCCTTTAATCCCAGCACTTTGGGAGGCCGAGGTGGGCAGATTACATAAGGTCAGGAGTTTGAGACCAGCCTGGCCAACATGGTGAAACCCTGTCTTGACTAAAAAGATACAAAAATTAGCTGGGAGTGATGGCGGGCCCCTATAACCCCAGCTACTCAGGAGTCTGAGGCAGGAGAATCACTTGAACCTGGGAGGTGGACGTTGCCGTGAGCTGAGATCATGCCATTGCACTCCTGCCTAGGTGACAGGGCAAGACTATCTCAAAAAAAAAAAAAAAAAAAAAAGCAGAAGAAGAAGAGGAAGAAGGTGGTCAGAACAAACCTTTGGGGAGCAAGGAAAGCAGCTCCAGCTGTGAAGGCACCAACTGATGCAGGCCTCAACCAACTCTTCATCCAAGGTCAGGGGAAAAGCTGTTCCACAAAGGGGTGCAAGCCAGCTGCAGAAAGATGAGAGACTTAGGCTCAGGGGCCAAGGCACTCAACCCCAAAGGAGTGATTGCAGTGGGATGAACTCAGCAGAAGGGAACTGAACACAGCTGGGTTAGCAAGAGGAGCTAAAGAGGCTGACTCTTCAAAGAATGGATCCTCAAAATCCCTAGTATAGAGCCACGTCCCAGACTAAAGCCATAGTAGCTATGCGGGGCCCCCACCCTGAGGTTGAAGGTGCAGGAGCTGAGCATGTCTGCACCCCAGCTCTCCTCCTCAGGCTCCTATAGTGAGAAAATATGAAGACTCTGGGCACTAAGCTGGGCATCTCTACTTCACCCCTTCTACCACCACCAACACTAATTCTGACCACTTTTTTTTTGAGACAGTTTCACTTTGTTGTCCATACTGTAGTGCAGTGGCATGATCTCGGCTAACTGCAACCTCTGCCTCCTGGGCTCAAATGATTCTCCTGCCTCAGCCTCCCAAGTAGCTGGGACTACAAACATATGCCACTATGCCTGGCTAATTTTTTTTATTTTTAGTAGAGATGGGGTTTCACCGTGTTAGCCAGGCTGGTCTCGATCTCCTGACCTTGTGATCCACCTGCCTCAGCCTCCCAAAGTGCTGGGATTACAGGCGTCAGCCACTGCACCCGGCCCATTAATTTTGACAGCTTTGGTGCCATACGCATGGACATTAGCTCCAAGCTAGAAGCAACGAATTTTTTTTTTTTTCAAGGACTTTTTCTTAACTACCTTTAATTGAGGTGTTATAAGACAAGAAAAAAGGAGGAACTAATATTGATTGAACACCTATTTGTGTTGTATAGTGATTTTTTTCCAGTAACAACTTATATTAGATAAGTATTGTCATTTCAATTTTACAACTGAAAGAAACTAAGGCTCGGAGGGGGCAATTAACAAGTTCAATTCCCAGAATGAGGTGATGTTGGATCTAAGCATGTCTCACACCAGCAGCCCTTGGGCTCACCACCACCTACATCAGGGATGTCCAGTGTTTTGGCTTCCCTGGGCGACACTGGAAGAATTGTCTTGGGCCACACCCAAAATACACTAAGGACAGCTGATGAGTTTTAAAAATAAATCGCAAAAAAAAAAAAAATCTCATAATGTTTTAAGAAAGTTTACGAATTTGTGTTAGGCCACATTCAAATCCTGGGCTGCCAGTTTGGATGAGGTTTTGACCTACATGGTCTCTCATACCAAGAACAGTGTGTGTGCTGGAGAGCTGTCCATGGTATTGCTGCTTTACTCTCAGTGTAGGGCTCGGTTTTGAACTGTCTCAACTGAATAACTACAAAGTGTCAAATGCCTGCGGGTTATACTGTCACCTTCTGAAAAAGGTAGCTTCAGATATTTTCTTATACAGATATTGGCATGCCCTATGTTACGTGGGTCTACACCTTTGCCAAGACAATTGGGTAAAGACAACTAAATCAGTGTTTCCCAAACCTTAAAGTACATGTGTCACCTGGGGCTCTGTCATGATGATCAAACAAGAGACAATTAGATCACAGGCAATTGAGAAGGTGGGTCGTGAGAAACGTCTAGGACATTTTGAGTGTTGGCTTCTCAAATATTACTGTGTATATGAGGTTATTTATTAAAATGCAAAATCTGACTCAGTAGTTCTGGGGTGGGGCCTCAGAGTCTGCATTTCTAACAAGCTTTCAGGTGATACCAGACCACAGTTTGTGTAGCAATTGTCTATACCACTGGCTTGTGAGGAAGATCAAGAATTCTGCCCACCCGGTGCACCCTGTGTTGGATGGTTTCTAATCAACCCAATCAAGTCACCACCTTTTATTAGTTTGGACATCATACATTGCAGATAAGAGTTGGGGCAGTACTTGAATGAGAAATAGGAAGAAAATGTATCAAGAATCTGGAAGAACAATTAGGAATAGAGAGTAATGCATATTCCTTCTGAGAGACTGACCTGGTACCCAAGTGCTGGGAGCTGAGGGAGG